AACAAGAAGGTCGAGTCTGGCAGCCTGGAGGACGACTGGGACTTTCTGCCCCCCAAAAAAATCAAGGACCCCAACGCCAAAAAGCCAGAGGACTGGGACGACAGGGAGAAGATTCCAGACCCCGCTGACAAGAAACCTGAGGTTAGTCTGCTGTAACGGGGAGAGGATAACTTTGTGAATGCTTTATTCTCTCTTGTTTTAACCTGTCTTCATTTTTTTTAAGGACTGGGACAAACCTGAGAACATCCCAGATCCTGACGCCAAAAAGCCTGACGACTGGGATGATGAGATGGATGGAGAGTGGGAGCCGCCTATGATTACCAACCCTGACTACAAGGTATTCTTACACAGATTTCACCTACTGCTGTGTTGTTATAAATATACCTGTCACACAAAACTCTTTCTCTTACATTTGACCAGGATTATTTGTTTTTCTGTTTTTTTTTGTTTTTTTTTACGAGCCTTAATGTGTGTTTTGCACGTGCAGGGCGAGTGGAAACCCCGAGAGATCGATAACCCTGCTTACAAAGGCAAGTGGGTTCACCCCGAGATCGACAATCCAGAGTACACAGCTGACCCGGAGATCTACAAATATGACAGCATCGGCGTGATTGGTCTGGACCTGTGGCAGGTGGGATGGTCTTGCTGATGGTGTTGAGTCAACGGTAAAAATACAGCAGCTAATTTAGAAAAACCCTCAAGGTTCCTACAGAGACTGTAAGGAAAGATGTAGAACTGGGCTGAAGTATTTAGCATGTCTGAGTAATTACTTACAAGCAAATAGAGCATAGGATATTTTTTAATATTCCCTTTATTCTCTGTCCATCAGTCACTCAGATCACTTAATTTGTCCGTTAATTTAACTCGATGATTGAGCCACCTTCTTATTCGTCTTTTCACTTATTCCCTCTAAATTGTCAAATTAGGGGGCAAATGACATAATAATGAACGTTTGCTCTCACAAAACTAATAAACTTTAACTTTGTAAAGAACACTTAACACTGGAAGATATCTTAAATAACCAAAATGAAACAAAGACAATGAATAAAAATGAAATAAAAACCCCTACAACCGAAACCAAAAATAGAATGCATTGTGAAGCTTCTGTAAAACAAAACAAAAAAATCATCATAATGGAAATTGAGCTCATTTTAATTTGCCATGCAATCAGTTGATTAATTGCGAAAATCTCATCTGTCCCTCCGTCCTTCCAAACCAGTCTCTGGTTTCTGCAGTTTCCATATTCAAACTTTGACCACAAATATTTGTATAACAAAACATAATCAATACATTTATTTATAACTCTAATCTGTTTTGACTGTCTGAAGCACATATGCTAAGTTGGCTGTTTGATAAAGAGATCATTGCGTCGGCATCATTCATTGAACAAGCTTGGCAACCAAGACAGAGTTCTGTATCCTCAAAAGTTCATCTTTTTGGTTATAGAATTTCATTTTTTTGTAAATGTTTTGTAAAGTTTGGGAAGTTTGTTCTCGACATGCCTCGTAGGCTGAGCACCATACTGTGGTGCATGACGCTCAAATAAATAAGTCAAATCTATACAGTGAAGATGAGCAAAAATAGCTGAGAATAGAAGCTCTTATCTAAGTTTCTTGAGGTGTTCTGCGCTCGGAACAAGAAATGCTCTGGATCTTTGTCAATAAAACATTTATACTCGATCTGGACTGACTGACTTGTGTTTTTTGTAAAGGTCAAGTCTGGCACCATCTTTGACAATTTCCTAATCGCCAACGACCCCAAAGTGGCCGAGGAAGTTGGAAACGAAACCTGGGGGAAAACGAAGGTATGTTCCCAGTTCTCCATCTGTCTGCAAAGACTCTTTGAATCTGACTTCATCAGTTTTGAATGATTTCTTTATTTTTAATTGTACGTTGTCTCCATTTCCAGGATGACGAGAGAAAGATGAAGGAAAGACAGGAGGAGGAGGAGAGGAAGAAGCGAGAGGAAGAGGACAAGAAGAGGAGGGACGAGGTGAAGGAAGACGAGGAGGAAGAAGAAAAGGATGAGGAAGAGGAAGAAGAGGAGGAAGAGGGAGAGGAACCAGAAGAAGAAGAAGAAGAGGAAGAAGATGAAGGCACAGACTCTCAACTCAAGGATGAGTTATAAACTCAGGAACGGCTCTGTTTGCGTCTGTGGGCTGTTGGAACGGAGACTGAAATGAAAGACCCTGATGAGCGTCACCTTGGGGTGGGACAGACTTTTTAATTTGTTTGTTTACAAAACAAAAGGGATAGGTCAATAAGGGCAATTACTGTTGTGTTTCCTGTTTCCATGAGCCACTACTGCTACTATTAACATGATTATTGTTATATAAAATTGGAATAACAGAAGTGATCCGCTGGAACGAATGTCGAGATTAGTAATTATAAAGCTGCAAGTTGTTCTCTGCAGAATCGTACAAACTATCATTTGTTTAATGAGAATCTAGGTTTATGTGAAGCTTTGACAGGAAAAATATATTTGCTGTATGGATGGTGCCATGACGATGTTTTGTTTACCTCATGTGGTTTGTGTGTTATTTGTTTTGGGGGGGGGGTTTTGTACAAGTTTTACACTAATTCATGTCAGTCTGGAAGGATTGGATTGAGTTCTGCATCTTGACACAGGCAGTCTGTCCTGCTTTAACATTAAATTAAAACAAGGTTTAATGGGAACCACCATCAGGACTAAGACTTTGTGTTTTACACCCTGCTCAGATCAGCCTTCTGTCTGTGGCTGGTTAAATAGGCCACTTTAGAATGAAGCATCTTCTACAGTTTTCTTTCTAACCAACACTTCCACTTTGGTGCACCCTCAGTAGTCTTATTTATCATAATTAAGAGTTAGTTGTACATTAGGTCCTCTCCTGTAGCAGTGAATCATCTGGTACCCCAGATGATTTAACCAGTTTCCTCCTGTCTGATTTCAGTACATCTGCACTGCTGTACCCTGGCACATTGTCCCACACACAATGCTCCTTTTGTAAAACACACATTTTGTACTAATGGTCAGAAATGAAGTGGGGGAGGGGCAAATTTTATGTTGCTGTGCAAATAATAAAAACAATCTGAAGAAATCAAACAGATATGTATTTATCTCTAAATGTTACGTTTGCATCTCGTATTCTTTTCTTCTTGCTGTTATGGCATAATGATTGTTTAAGGTTTTGTGGCTTTCAACAGTGACAAGTGTGGTTTTTTTTTCTTTTTTTAAAATCATGAATATGTGTTTTTGAGAAAGCTTACTAATGGGTTACAATGATGTAGCTTATTTCTATTCTGCGCAAGACTAAAATTCAGCATATTTTCCACATTTGATTCCCCTGGTAAGTTTTAAATTCGGTCGCAGCACCATAACCTCACATTGAATAAATATTTAGGAATCCAACCTCTAATCTGACTGCATTTACAAAAATGAAGACTTGACTGCATGCCTGACAACTGCTTTAAAAAAAATTTCATACATTTTTAAAACTGCATAATTTGGAATAATAATCCACAACTAAATGTTTGTGATTATTAATAATGATGTGGCACGAAGGGTCATTTCCTTTATGGGAAGCACAAAAGAACATGTCATTGATGTCAGTCAAATATTGTTTGGCCCTGCTCACACACAAAGATGGAGCGCAGCAGAAAATTGAGGGATTTTGATCACAATTTCTCTCTCTCTTGCTATATATATATATATATATATATATATATATATATATATATATATATATATATATATATATATACACACACAATGTACCTTTAAATCAAACTGAACTTTTCTGGTTTTAGTTCTGTTAGGATGATCAAAATCATTTCCTTTTGCCAAATGCCAGATCATTTTAGGGACATAGTTTTTTTTATTTTTAAGAGAATTAAAAAATTCTTTACTTGGATTGACACGTTTTTGTATATTTTCTTGGTATTGATGACTCCCACACCTGACACGGCTGACATTTCCTTAAAATGCGAAGGGACAGATAAGAAAGAGAAAAGATGAAAAACGCATATACTACACCTGATATAATCTAGAGATTGCTCCTGGAGAACTATTTCTGTATGTTTGTGTAAAATGATAGTAATACATAAGTGTAATTAATCTTAAACTTGTTTCTTGAACAAGATAATGAGTACTAACGGCCTCCACAGTTACTACATCCTAATCCAGTAAAGCCCTTTCGGGAGAGTGGTATGAATGTGAAGCCAGCAGATCTGGAAATGTGAGGAATGTGCTTGGCACGTTGTTGATTCTATGCCATAAAAATAGGAAGCTCTGAAAGACAAAAAGAGGGTCCAACTTGGTACCAACAAAGTGTCACTAATAAAGTGGTCTGTGGGAGATTATACCAGTCTGTAGTTATACCACAACTAACTTGTTCCAGTGCCATTATATGAGTTTTGAAAGTGAGATTTTATTCTATTCAGCTGAAGCACTGTAGAGGGAGTCCTTGGCTCTGTTTTTCACTTTAGATAATCTCTAGTTTTGACATAAATTTGCAAAAACATCAAGAATATCCATGACAAAAGATCTTATTGCAGATAGACATATTTTTTTAGTTAGTATTAATGCTGAAGGTATCCTATAGTTGCAGGCAGTAATTATTTATATTTATTGATACAATTACTTAAGTAACTAATGGGGTAAAATTGACTTAAGAGTAGTTTTACTACTTTTGACTTTTACTTGAGTTATATTATTATGAAGTATGGCTACTCTTAAGTTTTTAATCCCAATTTAAAGGAATCTGTTAACTCTTGAAATAGGGAGTTCATACTTCCTCATTTTTGCAAGGACCCTTTAGGGGTGTACACTCTTGTCAAGTTTTAGCGTATCATCTCACAAATCCGACGTGTAAAGTTGGGGCCGGGGCGTTTTCCCTGAGATGAGAGTGAGTAAGTATTAATGACCCGTAGAGGGCCCCGTTGTTGTTTTATAATCACATTTTACGTTTAGATATAAAATGAATAGGATTTCCCATCATTCCCTCATGTTTGTGTCCTGCTCCAGGTGCGCCCCCTATTGGTGTCTGGAGGTATCGCAGCATGAAAGCAGTGGGAAACAGAAACACTATGGCTACCACTCTGTCTCTTACTCAGGTAACACTGTCTGTATAACTCAAATATATCGACAGCAAACGTCGCCGGCTTATGTTTGTTTCTCTTGAAAACACCTCGGAGGCGTTATTTAGACATGGCGGGTAGAAACGTGAGTCCTTATCGACCGTGGTGGCTGCTTTTGAAGTTTAGTCCTGCTGTGACTGGGAAAAGTTTCTGCCTAATCTCTTTGGGGACTGCGTAAGGGCGTAGCTAGCCAGCTAGCCTCTGAGCTAACAGCTAGTTTTGTGTCAGTGTTAGGCTTTTCTGACGCTTTTTTGTCAAACTGCACACTCGTCGTGTAGCTAACGTCACTTGGCTTCGTTTCATTTGTCGCTATTTCTCATAATTTTTGCTGCAGGCTAGTCGGTCATTGCCAAAGTGATGGTAATACGTGAATACCCATCTGTGGATCAGTCTGTATTGTCGCTTTACTGTCACATTTCTCTTGATCAAATTTCAGGTTTTTACGTTGTATATCCAGTGTTTAGGACTGCCTCGGTGTTCGTGTGGTTTCCCATACGGTTAGACTGAATCTCCAGCCTGAAGATGGCTATTATTAGAAGTAAACATGCTACAGGGAGATTGAATTAGTGTTTTCCTTATGACCTTTTCCAGTTGAATACTGTTAACTGTTAGCCCGTTAGGTCATTTTCTATCCATGGTGTAGCAGTATGGCAAAAATATATAAATGTGTAATGTTGAGAGCTGCTTTGCAAACATAAGAGGAAGTGAACCATGGCAGCTACTAGCCTTCCCTGCTGAGGCAAAACGGCCAGCCTGTTGCTTGTTAAATGAAGAACTACCAATTTGTGTGATGATGTTTGTTTAGCTCGTAAATAAGTGATTTAACAGGCTGCAATCAGGTCTGATCAGTAGGTCGCAGTCCCAGACTTGTCACCTGAGCCACTGTTGGATGTAACAGATAGGTGGTTTGGCAGTGTTAGCTTATTGTTTGACTTAATACTCTGAAAATTACCCGTCTGTTTACTGTTGGTTTTAAAATTGGAGTTGGACAATATGATGAATTGTAGTCAGCATCTTTAATGTGCAAAATCATAATAGCAAAGATGTGCTCACAAGCAATATTTGTTAGGCTTAAAGTATTTCAAGTACCTTGCTTTCAATTTATGCTTGTCTATAATATATGAACAGTTAAATGGACTTAAAAGATGCTAAAGCCCAAGGACAATGATGGGGGCATCAAAATAAATCAATTTTTTTTGCTTTTTTATTGTACATCCCAGTCACTAATGTTTGTTGCTTTATGTTTTTAGTCTTCAACAGACTAATGGACCAGAGAGGCATTTTGCTGTTAAAATTTGACTCCATCTAAGTTATACAGTAATCAGGGTTTCTACAAAGCCTTAAGGTCTGAAACAATCTTCACTTTAGACCATAAGATGTTAGCTTTTCTCCCTGAAAAATATTGTAATTGTAAATTTGTACGTTTGTTTATTCATTGGTTCTTCCATCGTTTGTTTTCTGAAACGTGTTTTCTGATTTGTTGTTGTGTCTGAGGAATAAGGGTATTTTTTACGATCGGAGGGATGCGATATGTGCTGTAAGCTGTGTCAAATTGAATTTATTTCAAACATACAGTTTTCTTTGCAAACTGAAAAACTATATTACTTCTCAAACTGTCTTATTGTGTGTTTAGACAAATAAATTGACCATCTTCTTGTTACTTTATTTGCTATTGGCTCTTTTGTGATGGAACAATTTATACATTTTCTGTAGGTGGCTAAAATCTGTTGTCAGTAAATTGTCTTGAGCTTACTTTTCACTTTAGATGTTCAAATTAGGAAAGGTCAGTGTAAGAGCACCAGCATTACATGCTTAAAAGCACTATTACAAGTGTAGTTAATTAAATTATTAGGATATTATTCTCCATCATTCAAGTCGGTCTTACAAAGTCTCAAATTTAACTTTATAAAACCTGCAGAGACTCTGATAATTAAGGCGTTTTCTTGTTTCAGCTCTGATTTAAAGAGTCACCAGTACAATGATCACTGTGTTACAGCCGTCAACAGTTCCTGGCACACGATTTTGTGCGTCCCATAGAAGAAGTTGCATTAGTGTGAGAGAGGGAGAGATGGATAGATATGTGTGTGTGTGTCAACGGTTATCTCAGAGGCAGTTGAAAAAGCTGACAGATAACTGCTGATGACAGCCTTCAGCGTTCCTCCACCCCCCTCCACGTCTCTCATTGTGCCAGGATCTGTTACAAGATTGACACCCGAGCAGATATCTGCTGTCGTCCTTCTTTAGTTGTACAGTGGAGGCTAAATTTGCACAGTGGTTGGCCTTGCAGTGTTGGAGAGCTGAATGGAGGCGACTCATTTTGTTCACTTCTGCTTCCCTTCTTCCCTGCACCTGTGAATTGAAGCTCTAGATGACCATTTGTCAGGCCTAGCTAAACGAAAGAGGAAACGCTGATTTGTTTCCTGTGAAGCACTGAAGCGGTCAGAGGAAAGACGGGTGTTTACAGAAGTTTCGAGTGAAGGACAAATGAGCTTGTTGCTCTTTATGTGAGCGTCCAGCGCTTTGGGAAGTTCTTAAGAGCTCTTTCTAGACAAATCAAAGTCTTCAACATCGCAGTAAAGCAAAATGCGACACATCTGTTCAAGCCTCACTGAATGTTATCAGTCTGCACCATACAACAGTAAATGGTGTCAAATATCTACAGCCATTTTCTACATAATGTACACGTATATCTATATGCAGAGAGGGACAGAATGAAGAGAAAAATGGCTAATTGGCCAAAAAAGAAGAACAGCTGATTCCCAGAAATCAGGATTGTTAAAAAAAAAATGCTAAAAAGAATCGCCGGTTCCTTTAAAATGTGGCTAGATGACGTTTCTTCCTTAGTACATTATTGCCAAATACACGCATTAAGGGTCAAGGCAGCTGTTTGGTTGTCTGTGTTTGAAAGTCATTTTTCCTAATTTTGTTGGTCTTTTTAATCCTTGTGACTCACAATTCTGGAAGAGTTTTGGGTTGAATGCCATGAGAGGAATTATGACAAGAACCTGACTCAAGCAGTTCTCTCTGGAGTCGCTGTATAAGATACTATTAAATCACGTGGCTGTGGATTTTTCATAATTAATTATTCTTAAAGATATTTTCTTTTGCCTCAGCAGTCTTAAAATATTTATGAGGGACTACTTTATGTTAGATTGGATATTTTCAACAAGACATTTTAATGTAGTTTTTTTAAATCTATATATTCAGCAGTGTTTTTCTTATTTCTGTTTCTGGTACTATTTGGTTGCTTGAGTTGAAAATAAGGTTATTTTTAGGGGAAGCTTTTCAAATTATGTGCTAAAATTTAGGAGGTTAAGTAAGTAAGTTTTACAAAGCCTTTTCTTACAAGAGCATCACAATTAGTTTGAATATTCAAAAGTTAGGTTTGCTCTTAGTGATTTCAATCATAAAGTAACGCTTATCTCAAACTGCTTTTCCACTGCTACTGTGTAATCAAAACCAGAAATTCAGTCTCTCAAATTTACATGAGACAAATTGAAAATGATTTTAATGCAGAAGTGTTTTCTCTATTACCCTATATGACCGGCTTCAGTATTGGGAAGACAACTTTCGATCTTGACACCTTCCACAGGAAGGTTAAGCTTATAAAGTGCTCCTTTCAAGTGGATTGATGGAAAGTTGAGTGGGAGAAAAAGAAGTTTTGTTTAAACAGAAAAAGGTGCACAAACAACAGGTGAAACTTAGCCTGGTAAAAACCGGCCCCTTTTTTCACACTTTGCTTCGTAAAGAACATCTGGACCCTCTGCTACTGAGAAACATTTGCTTGCTGGAGGCATGGACTCTGTTAAAGTTTTAAATTTTACCCAATCGCTAACATTTAACGTCCAAGTTCGACGCTATGAAGCTTACTGGAAATTGATAAATCGAGTTAAATGGGTGAAATTCCTCACGGAGCCATGAAGGGAAATGAGAATTGAGCAGAGTTGAGTAGGCTAGGTAAAACTGCACCTTTCAAGGATTATGAGGCAACACCCTTTATAGAGTCTGGTGGAGATTCACAAGCAGGGAGCTGCATTGTCGGCACCTTAAGAGCCGCCACAGTCAGGCGTGTCCGTGGCACGGACTACGACTGTCAGTCCTTTGGTGAAGCGTCTTCTGAACCAGAGACAGCAGCTGCTGCTTACCTGGTTAGGAGGAGAAAATGCCCATTGATCTGAAGTCCTATTTTTAGACTGAATTAGATTTTACATTTTATTTGGAAATAAAACTCCCTGAGTTTGGCCGAGTGGAGAGCCCAGTTCTAGTGTGAATGTTCCATAAACAGTGGTGACTTGTGGAGCTGTGTCATCGGCTTGTGTTGGTCCAGTATGTTTTCTCAGTCCAAAGTTTTCCATGGATGCTGATTTAATTTCCCAGTAGGGCTTGGCGGCTGTCCACTCTGTACAAGTAGCAGCTTTAGTGACCATGGTATTGCCGTACTTCACTGACCAGAAAACCTCCCTCACCTAAACCCCAGAAAGAAAACTATAGGGTATTGTCAAGAGGAAGATGAGTCAGCAGGCTCAACAATGCAGACAAGGGAAAAGGATGTCACTAACGCAGCGTGGGATTCCTTCACATCTCGGCAGAGCTGCTGACCCTCCATGCATGATGCAGGAGTTTATGCAAGCAGAATCAGTGAACTGAACATAGATCTACTTTTCAGAAGGAAGATGTTGCTCTGGTCTTGTAGATCTTATGCAGTATCCTTTTTATCTACTGAATTTGGGGTTTTCATTCGCTGTAAGCCATAATCTTCAAAATCAACCTGAAGAAACGCTTGCTGATCTGAAGCTGCTTGAGATTTCAGATATGAAGCTGAAGCAAAGGGAGGATTTAGCTTTTAAAATGGTTTTTAGACTCTTACATTATTCACATAATTATTTCCTGTGTTACACGTGTGCCTCTTAATCTGTTGAGTATATGTCTCACATTTCATGGCTTTGCTATGCAGTGATGGTTGGCAACATTGTGTTGAACTAAATAAATAGTCGGGTTACTCCATGAATATATCTGTTTAATAAGTATAATTATGGGTTTAAAATTTTAATTTTTCTTACTGACCTTAATTAACTTTTTGATGATATTCTAATGTATCTAATCACACCGGTATAAATGTAATTAATTGATTCAAGGTCTTTTTTTTCTTTTTAACAGCTTTCCAGTGGAAATCCCATCTATGACAAATATTATCGACAGGTAATATCTTCCCGTAAACAACAGCTTGTATTGCGTTTTATTGTATCGATATTTTTTATTTGTATTTTTTACATTTTCTTTACCATGTACCTTTTTTTATTAAGTTGTATTATTTTATAAACAGTTTTTATGCCAATGCAGATGTTTTCTCACTACCAACACTCGGAATGATGTAACAAATTCCTGAAAATGGAGAAATTAATTTCTAGAGAGTGTGCTACTGTTTAAACTCTGAACTATCTCTAGCTGCTCTGATAGTGTTGTTGTTGTCAGCTCTGATCTCTGGCCTACCTTTACAGTCAAGCCTTTGTGTCCAACAAAGGAAGTATCTTTATGAATTATTAATGTTTCTCTTTGCCAACCAGGGAGAGAAGCTCTATAAAAGACTACTAAGCTAATAGACTTCTGGGGGGAAAAAAAAGCTTTATTTTATTATCAGTATTGATTTTAGTGAGTCAAAGGCTCCTTTCTTCCAAAGAGTGACTCTCCCAGTTTATTTCTTCATTATTCCACCCTCTCTTTATGCAAAAGGATTGGTCTGAATCTGTTCATATCATAAAATAATATAACTCTTAGATAAATTAGCACATTTCTGCTGATATCTTGCTTATTGCTGTTCCTGTTTGTAACGTTGTGAGCATGCTCATGTGTTGTTCAGGTGGATCCCACTGGGAGCGGGCGGGTGGCGGCAGCAGATGCGGCTCTTTTCCTGAAGCAGTCGGGCTTGGCTGACATGGTTCTGGGGAAGGTGAGGAGTAAAGGCTGCAAATGGATCAGAAACATCTCATCACATCTGTCTTGATTTTACGTTTAAAATTAATCTGTAACCTCTTAATGTCTCTGTAGATTTGGGATTTGGCAGACATTGAAAGAAAGGGTTTCCTTAACAAACAGGTAAAAACAGCAGTGGAGTTGCATGGAAACCTCTTATGCCCCCTTCGGGTGTGTTTGTGAATTTCTTTCCACCTCTTTTTTTTTTTTTTGTTTGTTTGATTATTTTGTTTGTGGTTTGAATTTTCACAGAAAAATCCAGTCATTTAATCTCTAGTCAGTAATGAAATTGCAAATAAATTCACCACAAAATTACCACTGAATTATTGTACAACAATACATTTTCTGCTGTATTTCTTGAGCCACTGAAATAACGTCAAACCTGCTCAAAACTACTAACACTTTTAATCATCTAATGATATAACAGCTGTTTAATTACGTGAATTATTATTGCAATTTATGTTGAATAAAATGAATAACAAAGGAATGGGATTTTTTTGGTGATGAAAGTCTTGGTTGTGTTAAAGATTCACAACAAAACTAATTTTATTGCATTCAGTAAGTCAAACATTTTTAAAAGACATTGATGCCGGATGATTGCAGTTTTTGTTGTGCCACAAAGTTACACTCCTAAAAAAAAAAATCTTAAAACCAGGGGAAGATGTACTGATATTCACACTATTGTAAGAAGGGTTTTAAAATACAAAGGAGGAAAAGGAGAGAGACAGTAAATAAACAGTAAGTTTTTAAAACTGCTTTTAACTCAAAAAGGCTTTTAATCAACTGATCAAAAGTCAGCCTGTGCCTGAATCCGACTTCGATTTTATTTTGTGTCAGATCTTCACACAGATGTCTCTGACATTTGTTAGGCTCTGCAAGCAAGACCTGTCACAACGTTCTGTCGCAAGTTTGACGCAATAAGTCAGTCACTTTTAAATCTGGAGGATGCGGGTAAAAACGGTCAAGTTGATGACGCAATTAATCTGACCAGGCTGCATCCTCGACCCAGATTTAGTCCTTTTCTAATGCTGACCAATGCCACATGACATAATCTGACTGAGAAGGGTTAAAAAAAAAAACCCTCAAAGGCTGCATCCTCCCCTGTTATGAGACAAATTTGCCTATTTGGAGAATCAAGATTTTGGTTAGAGGTATATTTAACAGGTAGCAAATCTAAAGAGGTGACAAAGTATATGTTTATGTGTTATGATGTGGTTTAGTATGGCATCCATGACTCTGCCTCTTCTCCCCTCAGCAATTCTTCATAGCGCTGCGGTTGGTTGCTTGTGCTCAGAATGGCCTGGAGGTGGCGCTTAAGAGCCTTAATGTGGCTGTTCCTCCGCCCAAATTTGTAAGTTTGCTGCTTTTGTAACCTGCACAATTATAATTATAATTAACTTTTCTTTTAGTAGCATTAATACAAATGTTGAATATTAACATGTATTGCTTCTCTACACCTGCAGCATGATACAAGCAGCCCGCAGTTGGCAAGAGGAGTGGCTGCTGATGCACCCTGGGTTGTTAAGGTGTGGAGGTTTTCTGTTTATTTGTTCTTTACAAAATGGGAACACTGGTTTTATTTTGAGAGGTTTGTAATCTTTTATTGTGAGAGTATGTAAAATAAAATAAAAAATCAGGTAGATTAAATCTTTTTCAAGGCCAGTTTTAATTGTTTGAACTTGCTGTGAGTAGCAGAAATATTATTTCCTGTTTAATCATTAATCCTTATGAAATCACTGAACTTCTGTTTCTTTTTTTTTTATTCTCTAGCCAGAGGAAAAGATGAAGTTTGACGCCATTTTTGAGAGTTTGGGTCCAGTTGGAGGGATGCTGTCAGGAGACAAGGTTAAACCGGTTCTGCTCAACTCCAAGCTGCCTGTGGACATCCTGGGCAGGGTAAGAACCACTTTAAAACTTTTAAAGTTTAATTTTCTTATTTCTGAAAATGCACTGTAGTTTTTTTTTTTTGTTGCTGTTTGTTTGGAAACGTTGAATAGTTTCTGCTCTGGTATTAAAAACAGAAAAGGAATTCCAATGCTTATTTTCTTCAATTACAGATATGACTTTAACTGAATTTCCTCCTTGTCTTACTTTCCAATGATAGGCAGTACATTTCAGTAGTTCAATTTTTTTTCTTCATGAACTTGTTCTTGTCGTACTTTCTTCATGAAACACTGTGAAGCCTCCGGAAAAGAAGGCGTGGTCACAGTTAAATGCTTCATCAGTTTTTTGCGACAAAATTTGTCACACACACACACACACCTCATCTTTTTAAACTGCTGTGTTTAATTAAGTGTAAATTTCTTACCTCAAGTAAAAAGATGGTAATATATGATGCACAAATTGTCTGCAGTTATTTTAATGCTAAATTATCAAAAATGTTGTAATAAATATTTTCAAATGGACTAACGCATCAATGATATAGTTTGTGATGTCGGCAATGTTGCTTTAGGAGCCAGCAATGAGTCAGTGGTTTCATTGGTAGGTTAACATGTTTCATAACATTTTTTTAAAGCTGAGTAATGTTGTCTTTGTGTGTTGAAGGTGTGGGAGCTCAGTGACCTGGATAGAGATGGCATGTTGGATAGAGATGAATTTTCTGTGGTAAGACAGAAATAAAGATAGTAGTAATAATAATAAAGAACACTTACACCGGTACTGAAATGCTGACTTGCAAAACTGTATTTATGCCTTGTATCTTTATTTATTTTTACATTTGTCATGTTACAACAAACTTCTCTAAATTCTTTTTATATCTTCTAAATCACTGTTTTGTAGAGCCACTCCAATCAAATCTCTTTTATGGGATGTCTCTACACAGCTAGAAAATAACATTTCCGCCTATTGTTCTTTGCTAAATTGTTCTGTTAATGTCTATGAACGTCAGTTTACAGGTTGTAGAGCTGAATGGAACAAAATCAGTGTGCATGGAAGAAATGCAAAGATTAAGTCACTGCTAGGTAATTATCGTTTCTGATTGATTTTTCTGTTTTCTTTGCTACTCTTTCCCAGGCCATGTTTCTGGTTTATAGAGCTCTAGAAGGCGAGTCCGTTCCCATGTCCCTACCGCCTCCTTTAGTTCCACCCTGTAAGAGGAAAAAACCTGCGGCGGCACCCGTGATGCCCCTGTTACCCTCACCTCCCTCTGTGAAAGACAGTCGCTCCTCCCATCCCGGCTCGAAGACTCTTCCCCACCCTCCCAAACCCGCGCCAGCTCCTGCCCCAACACCAGCAGCCGCCCCTGTGAGTACAGCCTCCGTCTCTCCTGTGCATGTAGTGCCTGAAACGCTTTTGCTTTTTTTTTTTTAATTACTAACAAAAAAAAAAAAAACTTGAGCAACTCAATTAAAATGATCTCAAACTGGCTCGCTCAATGTGTTTTTCAAAAGAAGAAGAGTAAAAAGAGTGGGAAGGTGAGTGAATATTTGTTGGCTCGGTCGCACTGTCATTCGTCTGTGGTGTGTTTTTGCTTTTCTGGAGCAAAAAGTGACGCTTTTGTTGCCTACACAGTGGGTTGTATCGGCTGCAGAGAAAGCCAAGTACGATGAACTGTTCAGCAAGACGGATGGCGACATGGACGGCTTGGTGTCTGGAGCAGAAGTTAGAGATATTTTTCTCAAAACTGGGCTGCCGTCTGCCACGCTCGCACGAATCTGGTAAGCAGAGATGCTAGCAACACGCAGTTGTGTTCAGACAAGATTTCAGCCAATTTCTATCCACTGATTTGTTAATTTCTTTCCATTGTGGAAATAGAAATGTGGTGTTATTGATAATTAGATAGGGTAGCTACATCCTGGTGGCACGTTTCTGTTTTTACATAAGACCAGTGACATCATTGATTTTCACCCTCACACGGCTGGTGACCGTCCATCCTGCCGTGTCCTATCGGTTTCCATAATGGCAGAACATGATGGATCTGCCGGATCATTAAAAGTAGTTATTGCCTGAGGCGGGAATCGTTGGCCTCTTGCGTAACTCGTGTGTTCTTGCTCCCAGGGAGCTTTGTGACATTGGAGACATGGGAAAGCTGACTCGCGAACAGTTTGCCTTGGCGCTTTATCTGATCAATTTGAAGCTGACGAAAGGCCTGGACCCTCCACAGACTCTCTCTCTCGAAATGATTCCTCCGTCTGACAGACAAAACAGCAAGCAGGTGAGGCCCACAGGTTCACTTAAGTCTGTTAATACTATTAGAAACAAATACAGAGGGTTTTTTGATTGATTCACAGAAATTTATTTTTCAGATGAACTTTTTATACCACTATGAAAGATGGTAATATATATATATTTTTTGAATAAATGCCCCAACGGAAGACATTTCCTCTTCTTTTTACCAAGTATTGTGCCCAAACATGTTTCTGTTTCAATTAACTGTTTGGATGCAGATTACTATTGAACACATAAAGGCAAGAAAAATGGATGAAACATCCAATAATCATGGACAAAGTTAAATATGAGCATTGTAGGATATTCTCCTCTCACCTTAAGTGTTCTCACGTCATTGTTCTCTGAACCAAAGTTTATTTGTAACGTCAATAGTTTCTTATGGGTTTTTGTCATCAAATATTCATATAGTTATTTCTGTCTTTGCATCGTGATGCTGTTTCTTAACTTTAAAATGTTTTTTGTGTCCCATCTTCCATCAGTAAAGTGGTTGCTCTTTCTGGCTTTAAAAAGTCCTTCCTTACTGTGTGTAGGTAAACTTATGCACATTTTGTGATGCTGTTTATGTTTTTCAGAACAACGCGAACCTGGCAGCTGACTTCTCTGCCATTAAGGAGCTCGACACCCTCAGCAACGAGATTGTTGAATTACAAAGGTAAGACATCATCCTGATATTTACATTAAAGAGATGCGGTGGACCTTCCTGTGGCGCTGCTATGGAGAAATATAAAAAAAAACAAAACAACAGATTATTGATTAAAAAATAAAGAAAAAAACTTTTAGAACCCCAGGAAAAAGTTCATAGATGCTCTTATCAACTTAAAAGTAAAGAATAAATTTTAAAAAATGCTTCAATTACATATATTTCAAATTGATTACTTAGTAGTACCAACAGTTTACAAGAGCACCAAAGTTTGAAAATGATTTCCTAATGTGGGATTGTTTATGCTTTCTAAATAAATCTACTTAAAGGTTTGAGGTAATTAGAGTTTTTTTCTGAAAAGTGGGAGATCATGTTGCTGCAGTAAAAGGATTGAGTTGTTTTAAGCTCTTCTGTGGAAAGCTAAAAAATGTAGACACCACTGCATATCAGATGTTTATCAACCGTCCCAGTAGAAACGTTGGAGGTTTATGCAAAGTTTCTGTGAAATGTTATCAGATTTGTATGTAGAAAAAACAAAAAACATTTCTTTTGTAAATCATAGGAAAAATATTTTGGTGATGTTCATTTTGTTACATGATTTCGGTAAAAACCTCGGGGCTATAATAATAAATATCCTGAATAGTTTTATCCTCAGTTCACCAGCAGGATGCAATGTTTCCATCAAGCTGCTAAGCTGGTTTGTACAAGTTCAAGTTTAAATTTGTGAGCTAAATTTTGCAATGGATTTAGAGTTTAATGCGTGACAAAAATCCTTTAATTGGTCCGGACACTTTTTGTTAATCGGTGTAAATAAATAAGTATTGGGGTTTTTGGAGCTGCAAAGTTCAACATTTGGTTTTAAAACAAAATAATCTAGTTGCTTTTTGATTGCAAGGGAGGAAATGTTGAGTGAGAAACAGCAGACAAATCAAGGAATTCACCTTCCTCTGGCTGGATTTGCATAGTTCCTCCTTTCAAAGGACATTCTTGCTGTTATTTGCACATCCCACTTGATATTTGCACAGTATTTTTTTTTCACTCCTTGTAAAGTGGTCGGTTGATACTTTCTATCCACAAATATACACACATTCAATTTATTTATTTTTTTAAAGAGGCTCTGCTCAGTTGTATATTTCCCTAGATCTGAATGTTATTTTTCATAACTATACAGTGTTATTTTCCTTATGTTGTAAATCTGGTCTTGCTGTACAGTCTTTTATTGCATTTTTTTTCTGTTTACCTGTAACTTGCTGCTGGTACACTTGAATTTCCCAGAGGTTGGTTGATAAAAGGATATCTTTTATTCTGTTACTTATTATAAAAGAAACTTTTCGGTTGCAGCTGAAGCAGTTGATGCTTTGTGTTTGCATGAATCGTATTTCTGGAACACACTTTGTTTCGGTTGCTGGCTGCATCTGTTGTTTTGTTTTAAATGGAAAAGAGAATTCAAGTTCCCCAGTCATGAAAGTTGAGAGTGAGAAGTGAGAAACTGTTCAGTCCACCTACATTCTTTATGTACAGACGGTTTTAGCAGTACACTTGTAGCAGCTGTTAAAGGTATTCATACGTGAAAGTTGAAACCAAGCCAGAGATCAGATTTAGATCATCAGATCAAAACTAGGGACCTGGAGAGATGTTGCAGTTTTGCAGCTGCTTCAGATGTTGGCTGCAACCCGCTCCTCAAAATGAAGATGACCGTCAAAATGAAAGCAGGTAAGAAAGGACGAGGTGTGCAGCTGAAATATTAGCAGATAGTTTGTGTTTTGATGTGTGTGGCGAGAGTCAAAATGTGAAAATAGTTGCTGTGTTTGAAATGTATTTTTAGCTCTCATTGAAGACAGACAGCAGAGTCTACTGGCTTCAGATTGATTTGTTTTTAAATAAGGCGCCTACAAGTAAAACTGAAATCTGTGGGTGGTCTTCACAGAACATAGCACATCTTAATTTTCTTCCTGTTATTACACATCATCTAGCTGCTTATTTATGTAGCGCCAGCTCACAACAAATGTAATCTCAAGGCACTTTACAAAAAAAGTGCAGTTTTCAAGACATACACTGTCTTAAAGTCTTTAAAAATGGAATCTGCTTTAATCATTTTCCAGGACTGGATTAGTATGGGGGGGAAAATAATTAAATATGGAAAGATTTTGGAGTTTTTTTATTTATTTTTTTTCCCCAGACTTTTTTTTTCATCTGTTTGCTGAAGAACTAAAGTTTTAAAACAAGTTTAAACAAATACACTGGTGTAAATACTGATATTTTCATTTCGACATATATCTTATCTTTTGATTTTCCCAACTCTAACCTGTTATGTTGTTTTACTACATAGAGCCAAAAGGCAAACAAAGAACTTCATAGTTTTCTTTCAAACGAATAAGTAAGTTGAGTAAATCTGCTGCATGCAGATGTTGTTGGCTAAATTACTAGATGTCATGCCGATATATCATTTAAGTTTGTTAAAAATATTAATGTTGTTGTTACCAGCAACATTTTACAATCTCAGTCCTCTTTAATTTATGTGCAGAAGTTGTGCTCACTGTTGCTTTCCACATATTTAAAAGAAATCTTTGTTGTCACAGTAAAAAGTGCAAAGAGACAGGAGACATTAGACCAGAGGCCAGCAGCAGGACAATGAGGCAGGGATTTCTCAGGTAAGGAGGGATTATAACTTGAGAAGAAGAGAAGGAAAGGGAAGGTTATGTGCAGTAATTTCAACTTTTTTGTCAAAGGTGAAAGTTTGACCGTGACCTTTTGAAAAAAGGTGCCGCAAAATCGGTTATTTTAGGCTGCAACAACCACAAAAACATCACAACATCCTGGAGGGACTAATTATTCTTTTTAGATGCTAATCAGCTCCCTGTGGTAAAAACAATAGATAGTTGCACATCACAACTACGTGTAGGTAAAAAAGGAAGAACAAAAATCCTTTCATCCAAAGCCAGAGGAAATAATTGTCCTAACTGATTATATGGTCTGATGCTGATTAGACTAGAATTAGGATATATTTATCCAAATTGCTAGAAAACATGTACAGTTAAAAGCGGTTGGATTAAAATCTAATAACTGATCCTGGTCTAGATCAGGAGTGTCCAGCTGCAGTCCTCGGTGTCCTGCAATTTTTAGATGCGTCTCTGCTGATTAAAATGCTTCAGCTACGTTCTCATCATTTTATTTGGCTGTGTAGAATCAGGAAAACATGCCAGAGACCGGCCACTGAAGACTGACTTTGGACGGAGGATCTAGATATAACTTTAGGCATAACTTTAGGTTTCTGTCCTAATTTTTCAGATCTTGTGCCAGACAACATGCCTACTCGGAGTGAGACAGGTGGTCCTATTGGTTTGACACATGGATGTATTTTATGTAGTGACATTCAAACTAGTTCATTTGCAGTGTTTCTTTTTAGTGTTTATCACCATTATGCTGATTCTTTCCAAGCTTTCTGCTTTAAAAATACATATATTGGTCTGTAAGTACCATAAAAAGCAAATCAAATTCGTAGGGAAGGACCTGAACTTTCTGACAACACGCCACCCAGCTCTGATTTCTCCTGCTGGTAGAAATGGCAACATAAAATGGACGAGCAGCCTGGGAAGCACAAATGATAGATGCTGTATCTCAGCTCCTCATGACTCATCTCCCCTCTCTCTCCACCTTCCTCCATCCTCATGCAGCCATCTGCTTCTCGCTCCTCACTTCACACACATTTCACTGTCCAAGCACATGCTCACTTTCTCTAAAACACTTTCTCTCGCTGTGATTACAGCAACCGTGCCTCCTGGAAATATTCAATCCGACGCATCTCCCACACAGCTGCTTTCGCTCTGGGGTTTTTTGTGCAGCTCTTTGTTCCGTGAAGTTGTGATTCGAGGACGCGATCATGGTAGTTCAGGGAACCGAGGTGGCGGTGTTTGAGAAACGGGGCGCAGCACCCTCAGCCGACACCTGGCTGTGGCTGGGTGGGGTGGGGCTGCAGAGTTTAACCTGTCTGTCCTCCGTGGCTAACCACTTCTGTCTCCTCTGCTGGACGCCCAGAGAGAAGGTCACTGTGGAAGAGGAAATCAAAGAGAAGGAGGAGGCTATCCGACAGCGAACAGATGAAGTACAGGTAAGGTTGGACCTTTGCTGGTTTCCTGTGTTTTGAGTAAAATAATAATGTTTAAGCAAATAAAAACATTTGGTGCTGACATTTACTGATGTTTCGCTGGTGTTAGAAGCATGGTTTTCCCCTTTTAGGACAATTCAGGTACTTTTTAAAATTAAATTTAAATGAGAAAATGATCTCTGCAGTCTGAGATGCTTCCTCTGAAATTCCTGTAATGTTGTTTTGAGTGAATCAGGTTATCGTCCTCCTGAAGGTGTGTCCAGACCCTGAGTCCCAGAAATTGTCTCTATTTTGGTACTTGTCTTCTTAAAGGGCTAGGCTGCTCTACTTTTAAAAATTCAGTGTTGAGGCGGCGAGGGTGGATCTCAAGGGAGTCTCACGCTGAAGCAGTTTGACTTTTTTAGCTGCATTTTGCTGTTTTTACTGTAATTAAAGTTTAATACAGAACAGCAGAGGCTTATAGTTGTAGCTTCACATAATCTAAGTGCAACACTGCAGTGGACTTGGATATACATCAACATGGAAAGCTAAGCATTCCCTGTGAACCTTTCCACATCAACAAAAACTACTTTCATTATATCTTATTGCCACAGCGTCTAAATTAGATGTGGGTCTGGACTTTGACTGGGCCATTCTAACACATGAGCTTTCTTTGATCTAAACGGTGTGTAAGAACATTTGTGACCCCAGGACTTAATTTCTGTTCTATTTTTTGTGATCCCTAACTGGAATTCAAGAATGGTGTTTGCTGCAGAGATTTTTTTTATTATAGAAAATTAGTACAGAATAAAATATTAGGCCCAACACAAAGCATTTTCATTTATCGGTCCACATTTTCCACTTACTTTTAATCAGAAGCTGACTTTGCTCCACCCAAAATCTGTTTTTATTTGATTTTATGAAATTTGGCCAAATTTAGGAAGGGTTTTTAGATGCTATTCTTTGCCTACAGAAGTTTTGGCTCAACATGGACTAACACGTAAAATCTGATTACTTTTTTTTTATTATTAAAATGTTGCATGTTTAGTTATATTGAGCAGATAAAAAGGACTCTTCTGTTTTGTGATTTTTCAAAAAACTATACATATATATTTTTGGAAAGGTTATTAGTTTGGTCCATGAGACACAAACGTTTGGACAGCTCTGGTCTAAAATATTCCCTTGTAGCATTGCTCTCAGAGTAAACAGGTCTGAATAAAAAAAAAATAATAATAATATTTTTACAATTTTTGTTTGTAACAGCTTAAAAAAACATGTATTGTTTTTTTTCCACTTAACAATTGTGTATTACTTTGTGTTGGTCTGTCGCTCACTGTCCCAATTCCATCAGTAAGATATTTCTTGCAGAAGAGCTGCACCAGTTAATTTTTTGATCTCTGCTCGGGTGTCAGGACCTTCAAGACGAAGTGGCGAAGGAGACCGAGGAGCTTCAGCGGCTGCAGTCTCAGCGTCAGAAGGTCCAGGAGGCTTTAGATGAGCTCGACCAACAGAAGAACACCTTGGAGGAGCAGCTCAGCCTCATTCGACAGCAGACCAGCCAAGAGACACAACTTGTACATTTCCCAGTTTGTATATTATCATAACTAAAAGTTTGGTGATCCTGATGCATTTCAGTAGAAACATTCTTCTTTGAAATCAGAAATATCTGAGGTCCTGTGCAGCTTCACATACACTTGCATCTTTCCAGATCTCGTCGCTGCAGTCTGAGCACGAGGAGCAGGAACAGAAGATCTGTCAGTACGAGGAGGATCTGGTTCAGGCACGAGAGGAGCTTCTGGCCCTGCAGGAAGAGAGCCGGAAGCTGCAGGAGAAAGTCCAAGCTGCTCAGGAGCAACTCACCCCTCTGCAGGAATCTGTGCGGGACTCCTTCACTCAAGTTTCTCAGGTCTACTCAGTTAAAAAGGCTTAAGTAGTTAAATAGAAAATGTGCAGAATGGGGATATTTTTTAATGTGATTAATCATCAGAATAATCGATAGGACATTTACTAAATTAACCATTTGTTGCAGACCTGGATGAAACTCATAGCTACATGACATTTACTTATCTGACTACGTCTTGGTTTTTCTCATGTATGTGTTTCCACTGAACATAGGATATATAGGATCACCATGCAGTTGTTTTTCTCTGCTACTTTCTTTAGATTCAGCAGAAAGTACAAGACCTTCGCGTGGAAGAAAGGTCAGTGACGGCGCAGCTCAGCTGGAAGAGAGCGCTGGAGGACAGCTCTCCGGTCATGGTCAACGGATCGGCCGGCTCCACAGCAGAGCTTGACCTCTTCAGTGACGACCTGCCCAAGGAGCTGAAGGAGGATGAGCCAGCTGCTGTCAGCAATCAGCAGAAAGAACATTCAGACGAAAAGGAGAGGGAAGGAGTCGATGAGAAAGAAGGACAGAAGGAGGAACAGAGTGCAAAGGCTGCAGAGGAGGAGAAGAGTAAACCTGATGCCCTGGACGACCTCTTCTCCAGTCTGGCCACCACTGATATGTACAGCAGTCTGTCGTCCATCTCTAAGGCTCGAGATAATCCAGTTGGGGTAATGTAGCCACAGGAATTTATTACATGATTATGTTTCAGATGGGGTGAATATATGTACAACGATTATACAATTTAGTATAAATGTAATCCATCTGTCAAGTGTTGCGTCTTAAAGCTGCTCTGCTCATAAACTATACATTTTTGTTTAAATTCAGCAGGAAAACAACGTCGTGGGAGCTGATGTCTCATCTGACGTCTCCGATGTTGAAGAAGAATCACTAAAAGAGACTTCACTGAAGGTTCAAAACTTGATTTTTAGTTCAGTGTTTGATAAATTACCAAAGCAAAAGTATTGAAACATAAATCCCAGGTTTCTTTTTTCACTCCTCCTAAGCAGAAACCAACTCCCTCAGAGAGAGGAATTAAATAAAACCTTGTTATTGAGGGAGCTATTGTCAAAATTGTAAAAAAAAAAAAAAAAGGTTATCCAGTTTGAATTAAATGTTGCTTTTAGAAGCCAAATAATCACATATTTTAAAATCGAAACTGACAGGCACCTTTCTCTCTTATAAAAACTAAACAAATTGTTTTCATTTTAACTGAACCTTCATGTAGCATGAAATATTGAATACTGAATTTCTTACTCAACCCTTTGTCAAGAACAGTCGCAGCCCACACAAAATTTGACATCACTCTTTGTAATTAATTATTTAAGCAATGAAAAAAATCCAAGAAGCCAGTCGGGAGCTGAAAGAGTCATCTCTCTTTAAGAAATCTGAGTCATAAGAGCTGACTCCCTTACCGATTCATTTTCCGCCACAACTACAGAATTGAATAGGTTTGAAATGTGAAAATGCAACATGAGTATGCCGTTTCTCTCCTTGTGTGACTCAGAGGAACAAGGTGGCACTTTTTAGAAACCTGGTGGCATATTTGATAAGTTTATAAGACAAACTGGTTGGAAAAATGGCCTGCTACGTCAAAAATGTGGAATAAATATACAAATAGATTGCCATAAGTACAGTGGTAGACAATTGTTTCATTTGTCACGTGTCCCTTACTCTCTACTGCTGCTTCATCCCTAAAATCGCAGCATTAATCTGTTTTTCCCAGCAGTGCTTGCATTAGTTTGGTGTGAACTGCCATTAGAGTACCATTAGATACCCGTAGTTCTGTCAGAAACATTTCTCTATCCTTGTTTTGCTCAACTGTTCAGTTTCCCATAAATATCTTCTCTACATTATGTCACATTTACCCAAACGTCAGATGTTTTCTTGATCTTCATCTTTGTCAGATTATCCCACGTAAAGCTGTTTAAACTAGACACACATCATGTGAGGAGGAGGCCATGCATTGTCTAATACGTTTCTATTTAAGCGTGACAAGAGTTAATTTATGCAGCAGAGAAGAACTTGGAGTAAAATGAGACAAAAATAAAAAATCACATCTTATAATCACAGATCCACAAAAAGATGTGAACGACTGAGCAGGTGTCGAAAGCCTGCAGAAGGATATCTATTTAATGGGTTTAGTAATGTTTACTGTAAATGCATGTGGTATTTTGTGATGCCTACCAGCTTCTCCTCAGAGCCATGTGGCCTCCCAACAGGTCGACTCTCCAGAGCCAGAGAGCCAACAGGAGCAAACAGAGTCTACAGAATCGACGCCCTCCCCGTTGCCTCCACAGGCCGCCGCTCGCTCCCTGCCGCCACAGACGAGCCCCCCCTCCCTGCCAGAGATGGACTTCTTCCATTCAGACCCTTTCACCGACCGTAAGCCTTACAATAGTCAAACTTCATGTCTAAGAACATTATGTATTTTAGGCAGTTAAGTTGTTTGCATAAAGTGGCTCATGCTGGGTTATTTATTTTCCTGTCTTTTCTAGATGATCCATTCAAAGAAGATCCGTTTGGAAAAGCAGATGTAGCAGGTGCTTCTCCATTTCAACATCCTCACTTAAAGGAGACCTATTATGCAGAAATCCCATTTTGCATGTTTTTGTGCTTCCATTTGGATTTGTGCTGCTTCTGAAAACGGAAGCAGCTTTTTCTTAAAAAAAAAAAAAAAAAAAAAAGAGAGAGAGAAAAAACAAAAAACACCCAAACAGTTTTGGGAAAACAGTTCATGTTTTTTGGTGTCTGGAAAACGAGCCGTTTCAAAAATCTCCGGAACGTAACGTCACTAATCAACAGGCACTGCTCCTGACCCATTAAAACTAAACCCGTTACTTAGCAACCCCAGCCAAGGGTCTGCTGGTACAACGGCTGCTGAAAAAGACAAGTGTTTTGTTTCTGACTTGCCATACAGAAACCACTTGCTGCATTCTTGTTGGTTCTGCAGGAGCCTCTATTGTGCTTTTCAAAGATGTACGGTTGTATAATTGTGCATCTTTTTGCAGCCATTTTCACGTGAGAGTGTAAACATTGAGTTGTGGGGTCCGGTCAGAAGCAGCTTATTTCGATTTAAAGTGTACAAGTGGCCCTATAACAGCTTCTCCTGAAAGAAGCTTAAAATGGCAGAACTGAGCAGACTAAAATCTCATCGTCTTAGAATGATTTTGTGCAAAATACGCAATGGACATGTTTTGAAAAGCCTTTACACCTTTTCTAAGCTGTTGAAAGAAGCATAAAATGTCACTTTTAAGTAGAAAATCAGTTCATCTGAACACTTTTAAGTAAGAAATCTTATTCAAGTGAATCTGTATTTTTTTTCCCTCTCCTTAGATCCGTTTGGAGGAGATCCATTTAAAGGCTCAGACCCTTTTGCTGCAGACTCTTTTTTCACCCAGCCCTCCAGCAACACTTTCCCCTCAAAGGACCCATTTTCAGCCTCAGGTGACCCATTTGGCACTACTCCTGGAATACCAGAACCGGACCTCTTTGCAGCCAAGGCTAAGGATGAGCCTGCAGCAGCAGCACCACCACCATCATCAGCAACACCGACCCCTGACCCCTTTGTCTCCAAGACCACCAATCCAGCATCCAGTGATCCCTTCAGCTCCACAGGGGACAACTTGGAGTCAGACCCATTTGGAAGCAAACTGAACAACGCCGGAGAGCCGGATCCGTTTAGTTCACAAGACGGAGGGTCAGATCCATTCAGCTCTTCTTCCACGAGCTCCGATCTGGCAGTGGTGCGTATGGCCCAATCCACTGGCTGCCCAGTCTAATAATCTGATGGCTCAGTCTAACTATGGGTTGAATTTTCTAACCCATTCAGATGCAAAACTTCATTGGCTCAAAAAACTGCAAAGTCTCTGAAGTGTTTAATTTCATATTGATTATTGGGCTTGGGGTATTTAGGTCTGACTTTTTAGGCTTGTATCTCAAAAAGTTAAAAGAAATGCTTGTTATGATTTACAAGTGTTTGTAATACAAGGTTAAACTTGTATGCAGATAAATATTTGTAGCTAAAAGCAGAACATACAGCAAAAAAAAAAATCCTTAATTAAAAACACCTGCATGTTTAATTTGCTCTTTAACTTTGATCAATCATCCTTTAAAATGCTGTTAGCCTGGAGGTTGAGTGCAGTTTTCTACACAGGTCTTGTTATCAGAGTTCAAATTTGTTCATACTTAATTGATGCTAATATTTACAAATATTAGTTCAATGATTAATGCCTACGAAAATCAATGCATGAATTTTAACACTTATGATTAGAACTGCTTTGTTTCTCATTGACAAGCGTACCAACAATCCAATAAAACTTTTATTTCTTTCATAAATTACCACATATTCATGTTGCTGATTCATCATCATTTAAAACTGGATGTGGAGACCAAACATTTCTTGTTTTAGTCAGGATGGGTATGCCATAAAAAAGTAGTAAAAAAAAAAGGGGGGTTAGAGTGACAATAAGAAGCAACAGAAAGTAAGGGAGGAAATTTTATCTTGACCATGTTTCTTTTCTTTTTGAGTAACAAGAGATTTTTTTTTTTCCCCCATCAAGGACGTTATGAAGTTTCTGTGTTTGTATTTTAGAAGGAGTCGGCGCCATCCAATGATCCCTTTGCTCCAGGAGGCACTACAGTGAGCACCACCTCAGATCCAGGTTGGTACGCTTATGAAATGGCGCCACCCTCTGGCCACAAAAAGATATTGCGGTTTCTACCTTTAAACAAATGTTTTCTGGTAACAGTGAAATCCACTCAGCCACGTTTGTTCATGTTTCAGATCCGTTCGCTGCTGTGTTTGGCAACGAGACGTTTGGAGGAGGATTTGCAGATTTCAGCGCTTTGACAAAGGTGAGTTTTAGAGTTTAGGTAAATCCTGAAGCTTATGGAAATCTGATGTGCAACCATGTCAAAGGTTCTCTGATGGTGCAAGCAAAAGTACTTCTCCAAATAAAAACCAGAACTTAAAGTGACTTTGTGATGCCAAATGGAGAACTGTGACAATAAAATGTGAATGTACCATAAAGACAAATGTCTTGACAGGTGGTTGGGAAGATGTTCTCTACCTTGTTGCAGGAATGTTCATCAGTCTTTCCAACTGTGATTCTAGCAACATATTTTTTTACATTTTGTCAATTTACAACAACAACAAACTTCAATGTATTTAATAGAGATTTTGTGTTGGGACGGACCAGCACAGATCAACATAATCTCCTTTACTCTGAAGTCACTTAATCAATAACCAGAGTCTTTCTGTGTGTAATTTAATCTCCATATAAATCCAGCTGTTTACACCTTAGAGCACAGGTGTCAAACTCGAGGCCCACGGGCCAAATTTGGCCCACTGCAGCTTTTCATGTGGCCCTTTGCACTCCAAATTACATCAATAAGTCCCTCCAGTTTTTCACAAATGTACAAAATTCACACAAAATCAACAAATCTCCAGTTTTTTTTTCTGATTTTACTGCAAATTTTCTCAAGATTGGTTGAAAACATTGAGTTTAAGTGACTGCTGCCTCAGCCTTTTTGATGTGAAATTATAGTCCATAATAAAGTCACACTTAAGATCATACACTAGCACAAAAAATCCTTACAAACATTTCTAAATTGGCACCACAAAATATGTGATTTTGATTACAAAAAAAAAACACTAAAAATCACAAACTCTTGGAGGAACTGCTATTTATTGATATTTATATTTTTATTCAGTGTATTCTGGCACAGCCAGCCCTTTAAGAACATTCAGATTTCTGATGTGGCCCAAAATGAAAACGAGTTTGACACCCCTGCCTTAGAGGTTTGTTAAAAAACATCAGTGAAAAAAAAAACACATCACAACGAACAAGGAGCACAGCAGACGCGTCAACTTATTCACCCAGAAGTTGTTTTATTTTTGTTATGTGTTCATTTTTCTGTCACTTTGCTGCTTTTGTAAAGCAATGTTGAAAACCATGAATTATTTTCCATCCACCTCACACTTATGTGCTAATTTGTGTTGGTCTGCCAACACAAATATGGTTCTGGTGGTAATTTCACAAAGTATGGAAAGAAATTAAGCAGTATGAATACTTTTTGTACAATGCACTGCACATCTGGATTTGCCGTAGAATTACCAGCGTAATGACAAAGCTTGTGTCTTTGTAAGCATATTTATGTGAACCATCTGTTCCAGTCAAACGGTCCTGACCAGTTTGGCATCAACAACAAGAACCTGTTCCAGGAGGACAGCCAGCCTGCCAACTCTGACGTGCCCCCCGCCCTGCCGCCTAAAACGGGTACTCCAACTAGACCGCCTCCCCCACCTCCAGGTCAGTTCAGAAAATCATCCAGGTTTCACTCATGATTGGCTCCACCTCTGGTGTGGATGGATTAATGCTGCGAGTTGTCTCTGCTTCGTCAGGTAAGAGAGCGTCCGTCTCTAGGACAGAGTCCTCCGACTCCTTCAAGCGGCGAGGACACTTCCTTCAGACCTCTGGAGACTTCTCCTCCTCTTCCTCCTCCTCCCTGCCTGCCAAGGACCCTTTAGCCGACCCCTTCGCCCCCTCCTCCCCTCCTCGCCACAACGTGCGGGAAGCTGATCGATTTGCCAGCTTTGACAAAGTGAGCACCTCCCTCTCCCCATCTCCCTCACCTCCTCCTGAATGTCAATAGCCACACCCTCTTCTCTTTATTTTTCTGCTCATTAATCACATCTGGTTCTCCAAGAATGTGCAACTAAGCCTTCATGAATCGGTCCATTCACTGCCAACAGATCCCCAGAGAAGACAAATAAAGATTTTATGTGTCGATGCACAAGGTTGCCTGTTTCCTTAATTATAGATATATATTTATGTCTGCCAACATTTATTGAAGCTAGCTGATGAAATCTTGTGTGTTTTGAATCCTCACTGCTGCTGTTTTTATATTTTAGCTTCCTAATAACAGTGCTGTTGCTTTGCATTGTTAAAAATATTTCTCATTTATTTCTGGGATTCCACTTCGTTTAACTCTTCTGGTTGCCCTCCTTATTTTGTTATAAAGATTATAAATAGTTTAATATATTTAACCTGCAGTTAGATTGCATTTATCTGTAGGCACAAAACACAAGTCGTGGTGCCAGTCGTTATTGACATATTGACTCGTGTTTGGCAGTGAATGGAAAGATGGAAACCTGCTTGAATGTGACTTTTGTTTGCCATCCCAACTCAGCACATTGACTTCACACCCTGTTCATGTGCGAGCAAGTCAAAGTTATTTACAAGATAAAAAAACACATGTTGCGTTTAAACTGCCTTTTTCAAGATTTTATTCCACTTTTATCCTTGGAATTGACTGAATTTTAATAGCTACAGCATTCATCCAGCAGGTTACTCTGTTTTATGCCGCATCAGGTCGACAGTGATGAAAAAGTTTCAGTAGTCGGTGACCTACAGGCCTAAAGTTCAGCACGAGGGAAAAACTCCTTCAGCCTGTGAGCTTTGATTCAACTAACTATCAAAACCAGAGTACAAACATTGAGCTTCACATGGAGCTGCTCAGGCTGCAAGGCCTGCATTTTTCAACTGAATCGCTTTTAAAACGTTATGAATTTAAACGTAAAACGACTTCATTTGGATCAACCAAGAGGTTGAGCTTTCGCTGAAACTAAATACTTTTCTAACGGTGCCATTTTACTAACTACAGCTCTGCTCCTGTAACACAGCAAAAAAAAAAAAATGGGTGGTCAAGCTGTGATTTTTGGGATGGATGGCTGCATTTCATTCTTGATTTTTCGATGCCTCTGTTATCACGTTACCCCACCTGCATGCCTCTGTCGAACCCTAAGCTACACAAACTAACCTCCTCCGACTGGCTGCCTCAATCGTCCCCCAAATCATTTGTTTTCCTCTTCACCCACGCTGCTGTTCATTAACTCATGCGTCTCCTCCTGTCCATCCAACCGTCATCCATTCATCAACTTATTTCACTCTCAGCTCTCATCTGATCAGCATTGTGTGGTTGCTTGTATTCTTTGTGTGTTTATGTGTTTGTTATAAAGAAATGTTTAATAAAGTGTTGAATCATAGCCACCATCTCTGGCTTTTATGTGCATCCGTCACCTCTCTACTTGCAAAATCCAAGTAGTTTTTAGTTTTTCAGATAAGTACGTCTGTGCTTCATGTTGTTTTTTTCCCCAAATCATGACCCAGGAAGGAATATATGGCAAAACCAGAAGCTTCTTGGGGATTTGAAGTTGAATGATTAGATTTTCAACATGTTTTATGAGTGTGGAGATTAAAAAGGATGTAAAAAAACCTCAAAATAAATTTATAAAAAAAAAAAAAAAAAAAAAAAGCCTTTAATTTGAGTACAATTATTAAGAGGGGGGAAAGTGCAGCAACAGCTTTGAAATAATTGTTTTCTCACAAATCCTGTAGAATATATTATACCTTTGGGATAAACTCGTGTTTTCTAGAGGATTCAGGCTTTGGTGCCTTGGAAAAAGGTCGATTTAAAAA